ACGACCATGTTGTTGGGTGTATTCCCGATTCAGGTGGTTTCCTCTTAGAGGATGAATCTGCCAATAGTTGTTGTTGTCTTGAGCCATGGCCATGTACTTAGCAGCAAATTGTCGACAGTAGCAAGCTCGATGCACGCGTGGCCAAAAGCTTGACTTGAAATGCATTCGATTGTGGCTCCACATATATCCTTTTGGAGGGATATGTTTTTGGATGTTTTGTTTTCAGAACACGCTGACCAGCACAAAGAAAACTCGGAACGATTTGTCCTTTACGTTGACGACACCACCCGCTTTTTCAAATTCGTAATTAAACACTTTGATGTACTGAATCCGCAACCAGCTTTGCTTTCGTTCGGCCACGCCCTTAGTTTCTTGCCTTCGTGCCTTCCGTGCATTCGTGTTTTCTCGCTGTAAATTGTTCCTGCATTGGGGACCAACCAAGTTGTGCCTCGGTGTCAGATCATTGCAAAGAGGAAAGAAAGAAGGATGTTTTGTTTTGTGTTTGTTTTGGATGCTTTTTGTTTCTGCCTCGCGCTGCTTTTGTTGCTTTTCCTTCTTTTCTGTGCTTGTTTTGCATTTCCTTGCTTCTGTATGATCTCTCCTGCTTTCCTCGCTCTTCATGCTTATTTGAGCCAGAAAAAAAGGTGGATTGATGTAAAGTGGTATTGTGGGATCCTTCGTTCAGAATTCCACGCACCGCCGCAGCTATTTCTGATGTTTTCTGTCTTCGTGGAATGTGTTATCTAGTTGGGGAACGACCCTCCGGACGACATCCAAAACGACATTGGAACGACCTCCTTAACTACGTACATAATGTATTTGCTGCTGCTGCTCTTGCTCCTCTTGCTCCTCCTGCTCCTGCTGTTGCTCCTGCTCCTCCTGCTCCTGCTGCTGCTGGTGCTGCTGCTGGTGCTGCTGGTGCTGCTCTCGCTGCTGCTCCTGCTGCTGCTGCTGCTCACTTTCGATGGACAGTATTTACTGTAGCCAGATTTCTCGGCGAAAAACGACCTCTCAACGACCTCTCGACATCCGCATTTCAGTCAGAATGACCACTACTACTGACTACTTCTACTGCTACTACTACTACTACTCTCCTGCTGCTGCGACTGCTACTACTACTACTACTGCTACTGCTGCTGCTGCTGCTACAACTAGTACTACTACAACTAGTACTAATACTACTACTACTATTACTTCTACCACTACTACTACTACTTTATTACTACTACTACTACTACTACTACTACTACTACTTCTACTTCTACTTCTACTTCTACTACTCCTGCTACTACTACTACTACTACTACTACTAGTACTACTACTACTACTCCTCCTCTTACTCCTGCTTCTACCCCTACTCCTTTGTACTCCTACTCCGACTGCTGCTGCTGCTACTGCTGTGTTTTTTGTTACTGGTACTACTACTACTACTACTACTACTACTACTACTACTGCTACCACTATGGTTGCCGCCATCACCACATATGAAGACCGCCGCTTGCAAATCATACGATTTGCTGTTGGGATCATGATTTTCGTACCATGTTTTTTCTACCGCATTTGTTTTTCTTGCTTTGTTTGCCTTTCTGTGCTTGTGTTGCTTTGCCTTGCTTTTCATTGCTTCTTTGTGAATCCTCTTTCTTTTCGTGCTTTTGCTGCTGGTGTTGTGCTTGGTTTGTTTTTCCTGCCTTTCTCTTGCTTGACTTTATTTTCCTTCTTCTCGTTTTTTTTAGCGTATTGAATTTCCGTTCGTTATTGTTTTTCTTTCTATGATCTTTGTTGCTGACGCTTTTGATTACTGTAGTTGCTTTTAAGTCCTGGGAGTCGTACTTATTGGTTGCTTGCGTTTCTGTCTTTGTATGTTTTTCCTACTCTTGGTGTTCTGCACCACTGGTGCACATCTTCCGTGAGCCACCCGAGGCTAAAATCTAAAGCTTAAACCGTAGGATACCTTTTGGACACCACCCGAGGGCCTGCCCGCAAAAGTCAGTTTAAACCGACAAAACTTTTGAATAATGACACAACACCATCACAACCCACAACGGTGGATGCTAATCACGAAAGCTAGCCTTAGCTAGCTGGAGTTGCTCTTGCTTTAGCAAGTTAAGTGACGGGGTGGACGCACCTCAGAAACCTCAAATAATTGATTAAATCAATCTTATGGACCCCCCCCCCCCCCCCC